GGACGTTTTAGTCAATGAGGGAACTATCTTTAGTTCCCAAATTTGAGTTTTATTCATGAAAGCGTGAGCAAAGTTGGAAGTAAACCTACTTTGTAAACTGACGCAATACGATCTTAACGTTCTAAAAAAAAAATTGTGTTACTTGCTAGAAAGAGCTAGGTTGCCTTCGCCCACATTAACATGTACGACTTGCGCGCCAAGAATCATTGACGCGAAACTGGAGCAATTTATTGTCTGTAGTGGAAAATGAAATCAACAGGAAAAAGAGCTCTCATAATTACGCTAACGGCTCAGTTATTTTGCGACACATATTCCTCTGGCAACATAAATCAACCAACGGGTTTTCTTAGGTTTTAGTCAACCAATGAAAAACCAAGACATTCAAACCACCTGTCAAACCGATTAAACCGCCGAATGAGATTCTATTACATTTTATTCATGAGATAAAGACAGAAGGCTATGATGTCATCGGCTCTAAAAATCCCTACTATACTTCTAACCCCTCCGTATAAAAGCACCTGGGGACAAACCTTGAGTCTTCACACCTCGGATTTTTTTTAACATTGAGCCACTGTATTGTTAAACTAAGGGTCAATGGGTTCACTTTAAAGTCTGTACACAAAAGCTTAATTTCTGGTATATTTGTTATCTAGTTAAAGAGGAAGAAGCTAATTTTCCGGTTTAATTGTGTTGCAGTCCCTACAAATAGTTGCTGTAGTTTATTCTGTTGCAATTTATGACCATCTATGGCATCAGTAGTTAAGTCAGTCTGTTCTTTTTCCAAGGGCACTCGGCAAGAGGCGTGTGAAAACTCGCAGACTTCCCATGTCGGACCCATTTCCCATCTCACACTTTTATGCGCCTTAGTGTTGATGGCCTGGTCACCATGACAACGAATCTACATAAAGACTTGTTTTCCTATTTTTCCAGAAGGAGAGTCTTGTGATAAATTGCTACAATCCAACAAACAAGCAACTAATGGAATTTACCAAATTGCTGTTAACTCCATAATATTCCCGGTAAGTGCTTTTAAGGTCTTCGATTGAGCAACCGTTCCATAAACAAAAGGCAACTTTAGATTCCGACTTTTTTAACACTTTCGAATAAAGGATGGGCGTAGAAAGGTGAGAGACTTTGGCCCCGACATAAGCGCCGCCTGAAGGTAGTCCTCTCCAAAGATTGTTACCTTCCCTGTGGTTTTTTGGCTTTTACGTCCCATGCGCAAGAGTAATATAAGCCCTTCGATTTTGCGTCCTGAGAAGTGTAAAGGGCCTAAAGGAGCTGTGTGACGAAATTTATCAAAATTCAAACGGTAAATTGAGTGAAACATAAAATTAAATAACCGTTCAAAACGTTGAAAGAAGGTATAAATAACACAGCAAATACAAAAAGAGGCAAACCTTGCAAGCAGTGGTTTCTTCAGGCCGGACGCTACGCTACGAAGGGAGAGAAGCCACTGCGAGCGACCGTGTGCTTTTCCATCGAGCATGCATGTCCACGTGATGCCTACGTCAAAACGTCAAATGGCATCACTTTCTATTGTTTCGCAGGAAACATTAGGGTCTCAAAGGGACTGTGACACGCTTCTGCGCATGTGCGACAACTTGATTTCTGTTCCGGCAAAGAGTTTTTTTAGCTATTTTGAAAAAATAGCTCATATGTCAGTGGTGTAAGCGTATGTATCTTTGTGGCTTTGTATCTTTGTGGCTTTGTATGTTGGGATGTTTGTTGCAAGAGCCAATAAGGTTGAAGGTACTATGAGTTGATGCTTAGGAACCGATGAGATCTTGGCGTCTATTTAAACATGGCATTGGCAAAGGTCGAACAAGGGCACTTTGAGACCGCCATCTTGATTCGTCACAATTTTTTCGTCTTTTATTACGGCTACGGGTGTTTGGAAGAATGAAATTAAATATCTTCATGATTCGAACGCTGTGTACAGTGATGCAGCTGTTTAAGGGGTCATATTTTAGTATGGATGCTGCTTCAAGGCATTTCTGACCTAATTCGGCTATCGGTACAACGCACCTCAGTATGAGTTCTGTTTCACCTGCTACAACTGAGTAGAGTATAAAAGATCATATATTTTCAAAGCTCTTCCAATGAAGCAATAATTGATATTTAGATATAGGCTTTAATTCGAAAGTATGCGCCCTATAAAATGTGGTTTTAGAAGTTTAAAAAGGCAGCTTATTTTTGTGAAAGCTGTACCGAGTATTGTTAATCCTGTAAACAAGCTTTAAAAATATTATTCTCTCGCTTACAAAGTTCAACATACCTTTTTCGTTCTGGCAAAACAAACAAAAAAAAAAGAATAATAAGTGAACAACATGATACATCCTTCCTGCATACTAAGTATTATAGTTTCTGAAACGTATTTTATTTAGTAAAGATGCGTAACTTAAGTAGAAACAGTAGCGTTAGGGAATAAAATTGGAAGAAGCTAGTTGACACAATAATTAGATACTGTTGTATTGAGTCGAGTAACATGATACAAGTAGAAATATATTTCGGCAGTTTGATAATTTTCTTGGAAGTGAATAAATGTTAGGCTATCAACCTTGACGTTGCAGATATTGTAATAAAGCCGAGGTGATTTCTTAAAATCGCTTGAGAAAATTTTGTAGTAAAACAATTTACCTTTTTTTTTACGTACGAATTGTAAAAGGCCCAAAGACCAACATCTTCACATGCAAACTGTGTGCATGAGTTATTTTTATAATTCTGTTTACTAGATTACTATGTGATAACTCGAATTCCCTCACGTACGAACCACGAAAGGGGACAAAGTCCAACACTTTCACGTGCCAGCTGTGTGACTGTACATCTCATGCAGATTGGCTTTTCACAATAATAATAGTAACTTGAACGTGTGAAGACCTGTTTCGTTTAGTGACCAATGCCCTAAAAAAGGCTCTTGTCTTTTAAGAAGCGATAGCTTTTAGAACATGAAGAAATAAGTTGTCGGAGTTAAAGACTGTTACACTGAGTAGAATCGCACGTGAAAACCTCGTGAATTATGATGATGCAACCATCTACCACAATGATAAAAATCCTGGTATTTCGTAACTATTCAGTATTCGATGAGTCACATTTTGGCGTAAGAAACTCCGAGGAACCTTAGAGTTTTCCTTCTAATCAACGTTTGGTGAGTAGAAAGTTATTTTACTTTAACAGTTTGTTTAACTTGCACCAGATGTAACAGGGAAAGACAGAGGAAAGTGAATATATAGGTTGAGGATCGACTCAGCTGAGCGTTTCGCGTTTTCATTTATGTAGCGCAATACCCAATTTGGTACAAAAACCAAATCTACATTTAGGATGAAAAAGATAGATTCATCACTCTTGGTAAGGTTTCACCGAAGTATTATAGTTACCCTGAAGCCGGTTCAAAATAGCTCATGCACGTTTAACGTGCCTATGTTTCAAGATTGGCGTTTTGGTGAAGAAATCCTCTTTCATCGACCCTGAGACGCCCGAGAAGGCCATAATATCATTATTCAAGTGCTATTTGGTCCATTTGGCAAGTTTTAAACTCCATATTTTGTATTTTTGTGCAAGTATTTTCCAGAAAATTCGAAGTCATTGAGGAGAACCGTACGAAGCCAAGTTCGTTGTTGTCAGTGTTCCTACAAACGGATCAAATGTGGCCTTTAATGTGGTCATCTGGCTTTCATTTCTGTATATTAAGGTTCTCCAGTCAACGATCAGGAGCTATTTGAAGGTATTTCTAAGTTTATATAGCGTAAACGGAGAGATCAGTAAGGTTTGTTTACATATTTTTGTTTGCGGATCGGAGACTGGTTTTCTAGCGTGGGTACGTAAAAATACACGTAGGTAAATGTTTGTTTCAAAGCAGGACAGGGTTGTTAATCTTATTCTTATCAGCTGCAACATTTATCTAGGAACACCAGAGAATAAAAATGAATTATGAGGATATATAAAATCGAAAATAAACGCCCGGATGACTCAATGAATCCTAAATTATGTAAATTTCCTCGCGTGCATCTTACTCGCTTCCGATTGGTTCAAAGACAATCAGCCACTGTCACAGCTTACACATGCACACTATCGGAACACAGTCCCTTTAAATAGCCAACGACAAGACAGCGACAAGAACATCAACTTTGCACGTGCATCACGCTTTTTCCTGCATTTCTTGGGACCTCTCTTTGCCGGTTTTTTGCACGACTGCGACGTGAAAATGCCTAATTTCGCGTTTTATGGATAACGTAAACAAGCAACGACAAAATTTCATTTGTCTTCGCTCCTGAACTTGGTTATGGCCCCTTAGAATCAACTCTAATTGGGTTCGCCGACATTTGACAAATTAAGTAGGTAGCAATGAAAAATCTCAATAAATACCGAATTGAAAGAGCGCAAATTCACGACAGGCTCGCGTTTTATCGCAGCAGTTGAAATCGTAAGCAAATGCGCGGGAGCCTTAACTTGCCTTTAAACGGGTTTAAAGGTTTAAACGTTTAAAATTAATTTATTCGTCGTTGGCACTGGACGGCTGCTCGATCCTAGAAGCAGACGGTTGTTCCCGGTGGTTTCTCTCCCTTCGTAGCGTAGCGTCCGGTCTAAAGAAACCACTTCTGCAGGGTAAAGGAGGCATTGAAATGCTAAACGTGTTATATCAGTCCTAGAAGCGCTCAGTCATAATAATATGCCCTTGCATATTATTCTACCTGGATGAACCAGAAAGGATATAGAACAACTGCCTACTTTTCTTTTTTTTTTTACGGCTACGGGTTGAAATGCTAAACGTGCTCCATGACACATACGTAACTTCAGACGGGTAGTTAAAGTTGCTTCCAGTACCTTATTACTTTAAATTTAGTCGCGACACGTTAATTTCGCGAATTTCGCGATACAAAAATCATCGCGAAATTAAAGTGACGCGAACAGTAAGTGTCGCGAACATAACATGACGCGAAATTAAGTGACTCACTTTATGCCAATAATCAAGAAAGAACGTGTTTATTACCACGGAAACG